TTTTTTTTTTTTTTTTTTTTTTTTTTTTTTTTTTTTTTTTTTTTTTTTTTTTTTTTTTTTTTTTTTTTTTTTTTTTTTTTTTTCTATCAACAGCAAAGCCGATTCAGTCCTTTTAAAATTAATTAATTAATGTACTTAATTTCTGCCCTTTAGTCAGAGGACAGCAGGTTGCATACAGGTAATAACACCAAGTTCTATGTCCACCCTGAAAGGAGAACAAATGTTTTTGGAACAATTTTACCTTGTTTATAAGGCAGGCCCTCAGGAGGAAAAATATATTTGTGTGGACTTCATAGTTACAGGAAGAAGAATATACAATACTAAATTGTTTGGGAAACAAAGGACTTGGAGAAAGCTGGCCCTGATTACAAGCTCTGATGAACAGATCTTCTGCATCCTCTTTTGTACATTCATGTACAACAGATTGGAGCTGCTGGTGTCCACGTATGGCAAAGGAAAGTTTCTTCAAAGAAAACTGTATTTCATGTAAGGCACATAAATCTGATCACAGTAATTGGTGCATGCATAAAACCCAAGATTGGGGATTCAGTAAGTGCAGCTCACCTTCTACATCCTCAGTAGTCTTTGTATTCTACTTCCCAAAATAAGGCCTCCATTTCAATACTGAACTTTCCACTTAAAACAAACAAAGAAACAAACAAAGAAACAACCCAAACCTAAACCCCAAGCTATTGTTCTAGCCCCTGCACTGGATTTCACCTAAGCACCAGATTTGACAGGGATTTGGGGATTTTATTTTGCTTTTTTCCTCAGGTACATAAGAATCTAACCTAAAGCTGACTAGCATTTTCCCACACATCTACACTGAGTCCACTAAGAGGATTAATAGCAGACACCAAGAAATAGGTTTTAAACATCTCTTAAGAAATAGGTATAGAATTATTTTGACATGGTTGGGAAATTAGAAATACATGGTAGCTTTTGATACTACCCTTCTTTTTTACAGGAATATAGCATAGTTATATTTAGCTTGGTTCAGACTTATACACTGAAATTCAAATTGTATTGCTGAGCAAACATGACTTTTTGACCTAGAGATGAACACTGTTTCTTAGATGAGACTATCATTGTCCTATCAGAAAGAACAAAGACAGCAGCATGTCTCTTCATTTCACACATCTATAAGTATGGAAGAAACCTGTTCACCTGCAGTGGCCGAAAAAAAGATGCCATGATTCACAAAATACAGAGTAATTTATCAGTCTTTCCCATATCAAATAATGTCTTTTCTTATCTCGCTAGGATCATTGATATAACTGACAGTCAGTACTTTTTTGTTAGATCAGGGGGTTGAAATGGTCAGTACCTTTTTATTTTGTCCAGTGAGCAGATTTAATCATCAGGTGAATGCCTAAAACAGTAAGAAAGGAATTGTTTCAAGAGAATAAGAAAATGACCATGCTCCTAGTAATTTAGTCTTTTAGGTTTAAGCATGTTTACCTAATAATAAACATTCTTTGTAGATTCTTGATCCCGATTTCTAGGATTTCTATGTTGTTTATGGTCTGGATATTCAGAATATTACTTTCTACTGCTTTAAGTTCTGATGCTCCTGATGTTGGCTCCTCATCTGATCCTGTGGTGCCCAGCACCAGAAGTGGGACCAATTCCTCCACCCGTTTCTCATGCAGAGGTCTCCAGTAACCTGGAGCTGGGTTGATGAAAGCAGCTCTCATCTTTCTTGCTAACATCCCCTAAACAGCTTCTTTTCTCTCTTCTCTCTTCTTTCTACCTGTGTGGGGGGACACAGGAGGAAGTTCACTCAGGGCTGAACACGAGAGCAAACAGCCTTTGTACAGCTCAAACTCAGGCATTTAACCTCATTTAACCTCAGGCATGGCATTGTTTGCACTGCTAAAGGAAACAAAAGTGGTTACCAGGGGGTTTGCCTTCTGTGCCTGTGGACACAATCCCACAGAAAATTCACTTCTCCAGGAAAGCAAACCTAGAACAGCAACAGACGTGGGAGATGAAGAGAATGATAAGTGGAGAGTAGTTGTTGTCTTTATAGAAAGGACATAGGATGTGAAGTTTGAGGCACAAACTTGAGGGGGCTACCAGGAAATAAAAGAAAGAACAAAAGAAAAAGAAGTAATAGAGGCGAAAGAAAGAGGGAACAAAGAAAAAGATTCCTCCCAGTGGCAGGACAGGAAAAGCTCCTGAGCTGCACTGGTTGGAGCACCAGCCATGGGGTACTGCTGTTTTTCTGCTGTTTGCCATCCCTCACATATGCACATTTTGGGAAAACCTTTAATTTTATCGAACAGTGATAATTCCTTTAGCTTACAGTGCTTAGGCCTCTATTCATGTGTGCAAATGGTTATCTTAGCCTTAGAAACTGTGGGCCTCAGCAATTCTTCTGGAAGGTGATTTAAATATGCAGAAGAATTGGCAGGAACATTTAGCACGTCTGTATGAGTTTTGGGGAGATGTCGTAAGTCTGAATCAGTTACACAGATTTAAACTCATCTGTTCTCCCCTGCTACAGTGCAGGGGTCAGAAAAAGACATCCCCCTCATGCCCTGTGCTGAAAATAAAAATTATTCCACTTTCTCATACTGAAATTACAGTGTTAGTTTTATTCCCGACTTTTGATGACAAAATGATAATGACCTGATACAATTCGCACAATATTTAGAACTTGCTTGGAAAGTTTAGATTTAAAAGATTGCCTCCAACCTAACTATTCACATTTAAGTAATCTTCTCCAGAATAAGTTATTTACCTTTTTTCCATTTATAGTACAGGTTACATCCAAACTAGTAGTGGTTTTGAAAGCAGGTAGGCAAATAATTCCAATAGGTGAAATCTACATTTTTATACAGCGTGATGAGTCTAGCATGAGCACACCACCAATGTGACAGACATGATGTATACACAGTAAAAAGCAGTTTAAATCCAAGCATTTAAAAAACACATAAATTTCTATTCTTGGTATTAATATTACTATTTCTTTGATGTGGAACTGGAGAAATTGAGTCCATCCTGCTAACATTTGATAGACATCTGACATCCCCTGAATCTCAGTGTAGCTCTCCTTTTGTCTTGGTAGTTGGGCCTTTGATAAAATATGTATTCATGAAGCCAGAAGAAGCAGCTAACACATCATCTCACTATTAAAGATTTGTAAATATGTGAAATTGTAAACAGGCCTGTTTGCTTATTTGATTTCATTTAACAATGTCAAGTCAGTCATCAAGTCTGC